TTGTTAAACGTTCAGGCCGGCCAGAGTCATAACAGACACTATAGGAGATCTTGATGAATCAGAAACTGTGGGAAACACAGCGGTGCAGTTTTTGCAGCAGATCTGAGAGACAGGAACTTTATTGGACTGGTTTCCATCATTCATCCCCTCAGACTCAGACAAACCTTATTGTAATTTAGTTTAATACAGAGAGTGTGATGATCCATAACGCTTTTCAACACTTTAAAGCTTTTTTATAAAATCAATGTAAGTTATGCATCATATGAAGGCATGTTTTTAAACTTTAAAACATTTAATAAACTGAACTTTTGCTTTGACATGTATTTCTTCCATATAGTGGAAGTCAGTGTAGGGAAAATATGTCGTTCTTCTCTTTTCTATGTCATTCTGTACCAAGAATAGACCCCCCCCCCCCATGCATGTCTGTTTCACCCCTCAGAAGATGCATCTTGTTACAGAGTCAACCTCATTCACCCTAAACCAGCAGCACCAGCAGCCATCACTCACATATCACAGATCCCATGGTGATGCTGGAGTTTCTTCACGGCTCTGCCAGCATTTAGTCCAGGAAATATAGAACCAGAACACACAGAAAGGCTCCGTGCTCCTCAGCTCTGCCTGTTGTTGAGCAGCAGGTCCAACCTGCACCTTTCTCAGTATAATCCAGACTAGAGGAGTCAGAGCTGTGGGCCAGCAGCAGGCGGGGGTCTGAATCTCTCCCTCCCTTGTGACTTTCTTAGCAGCTAAGCTTTTACCGCAGTTCACAGCAATATCCTCAGCAGCACGTCATGACGCGGCGGGGGCTTCCCCTCCTCTCTGCATCCGTCCATGTTTACTCTCAGCTTTCCTTCCCCTCTCTCCTCATTCTCCTCAGGCCCAAAATACATTTTCAACTTTCAATCTGATTAGATCTATGATCCTGGATCAGTTTAGATCATTACAGATCATATCTTTTGCTTTAAAGAAATGTTTTATCTGTTGTTCTGAATTCAGAAGTCAGAAATCATCCAGAAGTTTTGAACCCAGAAATCAGCAGCGTCCAAATGTAGAAGACGTCTTTCTGAGGGACTTTTTTCTGCCTTTTTTCACATTCAACATTTTGGAAACAAGTCACTAATTTTTATTTCCTTGTTTATTGTGAGGGAAAAGAACAAGTTCTGGTTATAGAACTTCTATGTGAAAACATCTAAGCTGATTTATTTGGTTTGAAATGAAACAGATTTTTCTTTTTAATTTTAGCTCTATGATTAAAGTCTCTAATTTAGTCAGATTATCTTAAATGTCCAGAAAGGTGACCATAAATAGGATTAGAAATATTTCCCTCAGCTTCATGGCCAGCAGTTGTCTGGTCTGCGGTTGTTTTTCTGTAGAACAGGCAGGCGACTGGAATCCATTCAACACCAGTTTCCTCTGAGACAGAATCTCCACCTAATTCCACCTCTTAGCTAGAAGGCAGGGAATTGCTCCTCTGCCAGTTTATCTGTCAGGTGATGAGTTGCTTTCCTCAAACTAAGAAGAAAGAAAATGAGGCCGGAATATGACACCGGTTTCCCGTTTGGCCTGAGGATCCAGTCCTATTGTTCTGCATTGTTGTGATCAGCGGGAATCAACTGAACGGAAGACAAACACTTTCCCAAGGATATACGGTCCGTTCCCTCGCCAACATCTAACCCTCCTTGCAAACAGACAGGAAAAGGAAGCAGAGAGAATACAGCTCTGATGTCATGGCAACAAAGACAGAGGGCTAGTGGGAAACTGGCTGGGAGATTCACGTCACTGACTGGGAATAGTGGGCAGAGTGGGTGAAGTAACCTCAACATTTGAGAACAGCACCATAAACAATCATGGTCTGGTTTTGCAAACCTAAATGCAAATATAAAGAATCCAATTTATGAAGCAAAAGGATTTTTAGAGAATTATGTGTCAGAGGAGAAAGCAGCAGATTTAACAATGAAACACTGAGGAAGCAGAACCAACCGGATGGGACTGGATTTAAGTTTAAAGTCGTCATTCCAACTATTAGAGCAAACCTCCTTAGTCAGTCTGTTCAGCGTGAAGGAAGAGAGACTTTGTTTGTCCATTTTCTGGAGCGCAAGTTTCAGATCATCTGCATCTATTAATCCAGTTAAAGGTACACTATGCAACCGGTGTTGATTTTCCAGTGAGGCTCCCTCCAGAGGGCGAAAGTAAAAGTGCACTGTCGTAAATATGCACAGCTGTTCTCCTGGTTTCTCCGTCAAGCCAGGCGCGGTTGTTTTGAGCTTAGCAGCGAATGACTAATGCTGCGCACTGGACATAGCTGGCGCGACAGAAGCAGCGAGTTTACATGCAAAGTCAATGGTTGATGCGCTTCAAGTCG